AAACAACTTTAAATGTGACATTTGAACTCATTTATGGGTAACTCAAGAACAGCATCAGGAATTTTATTGTAAAAATGTATACCTTGACCCATAAAAGATCGGTAAAGCTTCTGTAACCTGTAGGCTGGCAATGCAAGCTTGTTTCTATTCCTAGTATTAAAATTGTGTACGTTACTGTGTTTGGTATACAAATTGATATTATTTTTAACGAGGAGTATGCAATTGTAAATGAATTGAGAAGCAACAGTCAAAATTCCAATTTCTTTAAATTGTTCTCTAAGAGATGTTCGGCTACTCAATTGATAAATAGATCTCACAGCTCTTTTTTGTAATTCTGCAGTCGATAGCATCCACCGATACACATTGGGCCCGCGTCATTGCCCCATCTCCCTATTCCCTCCATGGGAAAGGCCTGTGCCCCAACAGTGGGGGCATTATTAAGCTGATGAAGATTATGGTGATGGAAACGAAAACATTTCATACAGAAATTTTCCATATAGGTTCTATAACAATGGCTTTCAGAACGTGACAGTATAAATCAAAAGGCTCAATTTCCTACGTTGCCGTCGTCACGTGGCCACTGTGTGGGTGTCGTATGTAGGTGCTGCCCTTCATTACGCGTTTATAACTATGACGTCACAGCAAACTAGGTCATAGGACAGCAGAAAAGAGGTTTAGCTTACTGTTAGAAATTTTAACAATACCTGCGATCCAATTTGAACCCTAAGCCAGCTTAAGCTTATTTGGTTACAACCATTTCAAAACAATAAGGTAGGTTTTTGCTTAAATGTACGCTTCCCTGGAAACAAACTTGTTATTTTCTGAAAAATCTTATTTGACGTGGCAGATTTTGCCGCCTTCTTGATACATAATTTTGATAACAAATTATTTGGAATTTGGCTCATGGATTTAACGATTTCCCTATTAGTTTTCCAAGGTTTTTTTAAAATTTCAAGAAATCGAACGATACGAAGATTTTAAAGTGATTTCTAAACCACTCTTCAAATTTTTTTTATAGATAGGTCCGGCAAATAACTCCGCCCCACCTGATGTTAAGTGACAGTGAAGTCCAGACATGAAGATAGCTAGTACAGAAGTTCTACCTGCCACACCAGCCATCTTCACCTTGCCGGCCTGTATGTTAGCATGCCATTTATCTTTAACATGATCTATTGCAATACAAGTGTTATTTACGGGATTGTTACCATGTAACTTGTTTTTAGCAAGTTTCCGATATTTTGGCACTGTTGCAAGCGCCATGATCACGGAGTAACTGAAGAGTAAGTAATTGAAACTCGCTAAAAACAAGATATATGGTAACAATCACGTAAATACCTTATATTACTATAATATTAGTGATCATGAAAGTTTAAAACAATATGATCTATTGCATTGAAAATAAAGGTAGAATTTCAAGTATCATATATATATATATATATATATATATATATATATATATATATAAATACGGTTTCTTTGTTATTAGACGGTCCTCTCTCTATAAAGGAAAAATTGGCTGTTTTGACATTTTCATGTGATTTATCGGTTCTTTTTTATTAATTGGTTCAATCGTACATATGAGGAGCTGATCAATCAATCAAAACTGCCTAAAAAAGTGTTAAATTTACTAAATTAAAAATCACGTTCTGTTCGCTAGCTCCTCATATTATATACGGTCAACATCTCGCATATATGACATTATTTTATATCGTCCGCTCTTCAGTACATAGAATATAAATTCTTAGGACAAGGCAACGATATTAAATACCCTAGATACACTAACATGAACAAAATCATGCCCGAAACCTGTCTGTGTAAGGTCTTAATTGAAACGCATGCGTCAAAGAGTTATAACAGTCTGAAATGTAAGCTCGTATTTTAAACTTATTGCTATATGCGGATGAATATAGACCTTATTTCTTTGACTCTACGCGCAATTCCGAATGCGCTGTTAGCGATATAGCAGGTAATATATTACCGACCATGCATTTGAATATCAAAAATATTTTCTATTAAGTCAGTTTACAGTAAATATTCGAAATTTACTTCAAATGCGTTAAATTAACTAACATAGATTACATACCTACCGAAAAAACGTCATTTTACATACTATAACTATTTTTTCGCATTTTTTCACGGAGATCGGCGGGATGTTGACTTTTCAACGGTCTGCGCCTGAGTGAGAACCAAGAAGTGCTCGAGTCGTGTTCAAGCACTTCTTGATTGGGACACATTTTGGGCGCACGTAGTGTATCTAGGGTATTTAATATCGTTGGTGCAAGTTACATTTACGGTATTCCATCGGCATGTTGAGGCTCATCACAAATATAATTAAACAATAATGACAATGACAAACACAATGAAAACACGTTTAAATAAAACCGAAATTTCGATTAAAAATTCGCATAAAATCAAATTCAATGCACCATAAAACAATATTTCTCTAAACATGTTAGCATGGTAGGTACAACTGTAAAAAAAAATGAACCGTCACGGGACGCCTGGCAGATGGGACATTGACATTATTTTGTTAAAGTAATATGCAGAAAAGACCAGATTGCGATAGGAACTAAATATGGCATAATGATAAAATAAAATATTACGGTTTTTTTTCCAGATAATTATGACTGTTTATTTAAAAAAAACATTTATTTTCATTACAAAAATCGAATTCGATTGCGCATAGTGACGTGTCGCCACACCGTACACACTACTGCATATGCACTGTATATACATATATACCATCATATAGCGTGGCGACACGTCGCCGTCGCCGTCGCCACGGCCGGCATGAGTCGCCACGCCAGAAATCAGTTTTACGTACGCCTATACTCGTAGATGTTTCACATTAAAAAGTTGGTGCAAATATAGCTACTCGTAGAAAGGAAATAGCGTTTCAATTTTCATTGGTTCGCGTGACGATAGATTTCACACTCCACGCCCGCCGCACCCCTCCCTCTCCGTCTCACATAATCTCAGTCGCCCCGGGATGATTTCGATCCCGGTTGTCCCGGGCTGATCCCGATCCCGGTTGTCCCGGGCTGATCCCGATCCCGTTGCAATACCATTTCCCGGCCAGACATCGGCAGTAATAAAGAAAATGAACAGCTGTCTCAATAGGATGTCACATTCTATCTAGTCATATCCAATAACTTTACCTTTTTCTGTTCATATCTCAATGCCAGTATTTTTGGAAAACATAATAGACACTTATGACAAAAGCGGATAATACATTGTTTAGCAAAAAAAAAATACATGGAATTTAAAACAGTCAAGAGCTATATCTGGGAAATTGCTTAATTACATAGTAAAAAAAAAATGCTTCCAAAGTATTTAAACAATGGATCAAACAATAGATTTAAGCCTTAATCTCCGAAAGTTACATAAATTAACCCCTACTTAATCCCCAAGTTAAAAATTAAGGCTGTTAAAAGCCTCTTTTTGCGAAACGCTTTGAATACAACTCCTGCTGGGCGAGCCAGTTAGAGATTTATAACGGGACCGTTTGGATATTTAAAGGACCGACGCCGGGGCAGAAAACAATAAAAAATAAAAAGCCTTAAAACCGTTCGGCCACGAAAAAATCCCCATTAACGCAGCGGGGTTAATGACCTTTCTTGTGCCTAAAATTTATTCATAGCATCCGAGGGATCCGCGAAAAACCTACAAAAATAGTGACAAATGATCGTTTGGTGTTTTTCAATCTTATTGCCAGGAAATGACGATCGCTGGCGTTTGTCACTTTGAAAAATATCTTTTCCCTTTATCTGGATAGATTTTAAAAATGACACTGGAGCAAATTTCCAATTCGAACTGAAGCGAGCGAGGGCAGACAATCCTTCCGGTTACAGAGGAAAAAAACACCATTGTCTAGTATAATTTTTGACAGCAACAAAGCATTAGGCTAGCTTGATGGCAAGCGGTCGCCATAGCGCATAGATAGACCCTGGTGATGCTAGTTTTTTTTATAGCCATGGGGGCAAATGACTCTACCCCACCTGATGTTAAGTGGTAATAGAGTCCAAACGCGAAGATAGCTGGTACAGCAGTTACAAATTGCAACACCAACCATCCTCACCTTGCCGGCCTGCAAAAATGCGTCTTCACGCCTCTTTTAAAATACTCCAGATTGTAGGAAGGACGGAACACGTGCGCGGGCAAAGAATTCCACTTGCGAATAAATAGTACGACAAAGAAACGAGTCACCAAATTTCTTTGTTCGTGTAGGAATGGTGGCCGCAGTAAGCCGGTGACAACGTAGGCCAGTGCGCGTGGTCCTCTTAGATTAGAGCCTAGTAACCTAATTACACAACACCACCAAAAGGTTCACTAACTTGTTTTCCTTTCCTTTAAAAAAAATATAGTGGTTGACACTGTGATAGTAAAACTGTTGTAGGAGAGATTCATTTTTTGGGTATTTAGTTCCTCACATACGTCCGAGGCCGATCGGGGATTCGGTCAGGGATAGAAGATAAGGGCGAGGAAGTAAGAACTCATGTGATAAAAGCTGGAAGGTAGCAAGAGCATCAAAGGAAAGACAGAGAGTTGATAGACGGATAAAAGATGGGGGAGGGGAGGGAGGGGGAAGAGAGGGTTTATTAATTACGACCCACTGAAGTAAATTGCAATTTACTTTTTGGTGTACCGTTTCGTGGCTACCTATGAAAAGGTAGAAATTAAAATAAATAAATAATATTTCCAACACTCACACCAATTAGCCTAACTTCAAAGTAAACTCTGTAGGCTTGTGTTATCGGATACTAGGGTAACGGATGGAATACATATACTGATACACATATAGAAGTATATTTATATGGAAATACATATTAAACATCCATGACTAAAGTACAAATACCCGTATTCGTGACACAAACATCTGCCCGACCGGGATTCCAACCCGGGACTTCCCAAGTACCCGACACCTTGAAACCCGGAAAATTACTAAAAAGCAATTTACATCTAATTTTCGTTATCCATCTTTCTAAATCTACGATTCTCACCTGAGTACAGATCCGCAGGTCTTCTCGCAGACGTCGCACTTGGCTGCCACCGGTAGGTTCCCTTCGAGCCACTGGTGTGGCATTATTATGTTCTGTTACATGGAAAAATAGATTTTATTATTTTCAAGGCGTATTGCCAATCTTTCTACACGTGTAGCCTGTGGGTCAGATTTACGCATAGGGCTTATAGGGCACTACGGGTCCAGTATAATAATGCTCTCAGGTTGCTGTTGGGTTTGTCGTGGTGTGGTAGCACCTCAAGTATGTTAGCATATTGACGGCTTTCATGCCATAATCAGGGAGTGCTGCGAGGCACTGCTGTCCAGAATACGTGGCAGCACCAACAGCATCCTGTCGGCAATGGTTGACATATGGAATTCTCCACTGTTGGAACATTGATTGCATCTGCATACGAAGCACCCGGGCCGCATGTAGGGGGTGGCTTGTGCTCCGGCAGGGGATGAACATAGTATTATTTTTATTTGATTTTTTTTCTATACTTTCCTAAAACAGTTTTTTAAGGCACATTGCTACTAAAATTCTAAGGACTCTATAATATTGTCTGAGAATAAATTGTTATTTTTATTATTGTATTACTGTAAAATAACAATAACTATAAAAATAAATCATCGTCAAATTTTGCAATAATTTTTAGCGTACCGTGTACATATAGGGTATACAACGGAACCCTATTCTCCACTAAGTCTTCACTTAAAGAATGAAGCGTATAAGACAGTTGAAAAGTTCAGACAGTTCTATTGCCGTTATAAAAACAAATAGATATTAGGTAAAGTCAACATTTAGATGAGGTACACAGTTTATATATTGTTTGAAAAGAGTGGCTAACATTCATATGACCCTCCTGATGGTAAGTGGCCACCATAGCTTGCGATACTATAGTATGACTTGCAAGTCTCTGATTTTATGTCTGGGAAATAGCCGTACGCATCGTTTAACCACAGAGGGAGCAAGAGAAAGGTTTGAGCGGACTCCTCCCTGCTCATTTCATCCAGGTCTAGAGCTTTACGAAATGGTGTTCTGGAATGAGGACCATTACTAGGTCAGCAAATCAACTCAAAATCAACAGTATAATGATCTAATAAGCTTTTTAATAGGAGAAGCTCGATGGCGCGGCTGGTTAGCGCGTTCGGCTGTGATCGTTGAAGTTAAGCAACTTTCGCAGTGGTCGGTCATTAGATGGGTGACCAAAAATCTTCTATCTAGAGTTCCTCCGTACATCGGAAGGCATGTTAAGCCGTTGGTCCCGGCTGCATCTGCAGTCGTTAGCACCCCCCAATCTGCACTGAGCCCGCGTGGTGGGTCATGGCCCAATCTCCCTATTTCATCCATAGGGAAGGCCTGTATATTAATAGGCTGATGATTTTAATTAATATACTTTTTTATAGTTTTTTTTATGGTAGCCAATATTCGACGGCCGAAACGTGGGACGTCACAGAGCTCGATCGTGGTTTACTCTGGTCTAAATTCAGTAGCATCTCTACGCACGCTTGGGCCCGAACGCTAGAGCTCTGTGACGTCGCAGCCACCACGCGGCCAGCCGAAAATTCGTTCAGTAATTTGGTTATAACTTCTTCAATATTTGTCGTAGATCAAAAATTTAACCACTGTATCCTATGGAATCCTTAGATCTATAAATCTGCATTCTGAACTAAAATCGTTACGGATCCTCATTAGAACTCTCTGACATGCAGACCCGTCTTTCCCAGTTGGCACTTTGGGCAAGTGTTTGACTTTCACAAGAGCTTGTAACAGCCTAGACTGAATAAATGAGTTTGAATTTGAATTTGAATTTTCCCAGGGCCCCGCGATCGATAGGGGCCCACCTCAGATCAAATATATAGTCCCTAGTTTCTGATAGATCACCAAACGGGGGTCATATTATCCTAATATGCCCAGGGCCTCCAATAGGTCAAAGACGGCACTGCTGACATGAAACACAATACCACCAAAACGAAGTGCTATTTCACCAGAACAGGTGGAGATCACTTCCCCAGAAGGGCGCTCAAATTCGACCAGGAAATTTTCGCTATAAGGAGCTAATAAAGTAAAATTTTCACTCTACAAGTTTAATCTTAAGATGATTCAGATATTTAAATCTAAAGAAAATATTGCTAGATAAAAATCCACGCGGATCAGTCAGCAGACGGGACTCGAACCCGCACCCTTCGCTATCCGGGCGAATGCACTGTCCAATTATGCTACCACGGCCCTGACGGCTGTGTTGAATTATTTCTAGCCTTTCTTACGCTGCAAGGCAGCGCCATCTCGTCGCATTATAGGTAACCCACAATGTCAAATGAATACCTTTACAAGCATTAAATATTTGAACGAAGAAATAGCTATTATTTTTTTCTAGTAATATTTTATTTAGATTTAAACATCGAGCAGTTACATGCTTAAAAAAAAAGAAAAAAAATATTCAGGTAACTTAGTTCTGTTGCCATCTGTATTTTTCATATATATCTAACTGTGAACGCGAAAAGTTTACACCTAGTCGAGACTATCATGTTCAACAAATGTGTGACACGGTACTAAAACCTGACGTCGACGCTTCAATAATGTCACAGTAGAGTCAATGACCTTTGGAATGACGTGTCGTTTGTAGTCGTCTAACAACCGTCTGTCTGAATGGCTGAGTCGCCGGTGTACGAAAAAATACTGCGAAAGCTATGCTAAACCTATGGTGATGTCTGTTCTTAGGGTACCGTACCTCATAAGAAAAATACGGAACCATTATAAGATCACTTCGTTATTGAAACTGAGAAAACAGTTAAATGCTTAAAAAATAAAATAAAAACATAAGTAATTATAATTGCTATTTCTTCTTTCAAATACTTGAAAAAGTATTCATTTGACATTGTGGGTTACCTACAATGCGAAGAGATAGCGCTGCCTTGCAGCTTAAGTCTAGAAAAATTTCGACGCGGCCATCAGGGCCGTGGTAGCATTATTGGTCAGTGCATTCGCCGGATTGCGAAGGGTGCGGGTTCGAGTCCCGTCCGCTGCCTGGTCCGCGTGGATATTTTTTCTTGTAAAAAATTTCTTTAGATTTAAACATCTAGCAGTTAAATGCTTAAAAAATTAAATATAAATATAACTGTGAGAAATTTAAACTTGTAAAGGGCATAATTCATTTGACTACATTGTTTTGTTCATTCACATGAGACTATTTTCGCTAGTTTTTCACTCCCCCCCCCCATACGTAGGAAAAAATAAGTATAGTCCAGCAGCCACCCCCTGTTCATATTTATTACGGAAGAATCTTAAGGAATAATGAGTTTGACTTGATCTAATGTTTTATTTTTCAAAATGCCAATTTTTAGCAATTTTTATTTTTACCTACAAAAGGTAAAGGCTGCACTAGACTGATAGTAGCAAAAATTAAAACTTTGTACATGGCAGTACTGATTATAGTTAAATAAACTTTCCCTGATACTTTATTATTGGCCGACTTAAAAAGTAGGAGATTCTTTTATATAAATTGTTGTTCGAACATTTATAGGTCGATTTCGATAATTCAGTTTTAGGGTTCCGTACTCAAAGTGTTAAAACGAAGCCCTATTGCTGAAATACTGTCGTCTGTATATCCGAATGCCACGTTTTCACGCACATCACTCATTAAATAAAATAAGTTTCAACGGGTTAGATGCACTGATTTTATTTATTTATTGACGTTTCGCAGCCTTTTCAGGAATGCGTCGTCCGAATAATTAATAATATTATATGCATTCCATGCATATGCATAGCATTTCCTATTATTATACGACCATCTGTAGATAAAGTATCTATAAGAAAACTATTTTTCAATGAGTGTAATTCAAACATGTTGGGAATTCAATTACTACTACCAAATATTATGTTTTATGAACGTATTTTTACTGTATAATAATAAATGTTACGAAACTAATGTTAGTTTACATTTAAACAATAGGTTACTATCATCTAACTTTATGTGAAAACTAAATAAAAAAAATTCACTCTTATCATTTTTTCATAACGCGCCTAAAGAAGTATAACTTCAAAAATGCAATACAAAAACAAACTAGTATCAAGAAATTAATTCCAACTCACTCGGCGCGGTTAGGTATCTTTATAAAATTGCTCTTTCTTCATAAGATGTGACTCCATTTGTTCTTTTGCAGATTTATTATGACTTATTATTTAATAAATAACTTCTCCGACTGCAATTTTTCCTTTTCTTTTATTCACTCCACAAACAAAAAAAAACGAAAAACTTTCTTCAAATGAAATGTTTTGTGTCTATGAAATTAAAGATTCTTGCATGACATTTGTCATTTTTGAATAACGTCTTAAAAGAGCTGCCAGGTCCAGTTTTTCTGGTGTGACCAGATTATTGACTCTGCAAAGTTATCGTGGTTCGACTTTAGTATTTTTTTTTATAAACTACTTTTAGAAGTATATTATTTATTTTGCGCATTTTTGTGATGTAACGTGAGATCTATTAAGACACCCTCGCACCCCCTTAAGAAAAAATAGAAGTCAACCCCCTCTCTCCCCCTAAATCGCCTTACATAATTAATGAATAGTCCCTAAGTTAACGTAAAAAAAAGATACGGATACGTTTATGTTTGCGTACCCACAAATTTGTACGGAACTCTCGGTGGGCGAGTCCAACTGGCATTGCTCGGCTTTTTTCATTTGACTTCAGACTGCATAAAAGATCGAGCTTTTTAATTAGACTGTATATTTTTCTGTATCTCTTGCGTAATTATTTCACAGTACAGTAAAACCCATTTGCCCAGCCATCCATAAAACTGTATTCCGAATATACGGTAAGTAACGAAGATTGAAAGCTGATTGAATATCTATACCTTGTTGTGAGGTCCAGATAACAGATTGTGATGGATCACTATCACTAAGTAACTAATAGACTTTTAACTGTAGGCAAAGGAAAATGGGCAAAAATGTATGGACGCTGCACCCATGTCCACCACGGCTCAAACTACATTTTTTTGAAAGGTATTATAGTCATAATCATCACTACCAAAGCGCAGCAAATTCCATCCCAGGGGTCCTTAGTTTTTTTTAGTTAAATAGGTACAAGTACTAT